TTTGTGTCCAGTGGTCCAGTCTGGGAGTATGGGGAGGAAGTCCCCAAAGAAACCTTATCTGTTTTTACTCCAGACCCGAGTCTTGTGTGTCAGCCAGTGTGGAGTCTGGCTCAGTTGTTCACCCACCTTAGCACTGCTTCCACCCCGCCCCCCGGTGGTTGCAGTTTCTGAGTCAGTTCTGTCCTCAGCCCATCTCTTACACAAATCAATGGATACTGTGGCCCAGCCCATCCCTGTGCACCACACACTTGGCCCTCATGTAAATCAGTGGGAACTGTAGCCTAGTCAGAGCAACCCCCAATAACCCAACCAGGCCCATCCCCAAACCTAGTTCCTGTGCTTGCCAGCATGTGCAGCAGACTGTCTAGTCTATCCCGCATCCCATTTGACTTTTGTACACATGAGTGCGAGCTGCAGCCTAGTTCACTTGACCGGTACCATGTCCCACCCATACTTATGCTGATAGGTGCAACGACCTGTCCAGCAAGGCCTGCCTCAGCCCTGGTTCTTATGTTCACTGGTGGGAGCTGTACCCCAATAGAGGGGTATCCAAGTGTCCCAATTAGGCCTGCTTCCAGTCCCAGATCTTGCACTTTCCAGGTGGTTCTGTAGTGTAGTCTCACAGGATTTGCTCCCATTCCCAGCATGCCAACTGATGCTGCAGCAAAGCCTGAGCAGCCTGCACTTACTCTGGCTCATGCATGCCCCAGTGGATATAGCCAGTTGACCCAGTCTGACTCCTGCTAACCCAGCTCAATGCAGGCCAACAAGTGTTGTAGCCCTGCCAAGTCTGGTCAGCCCCATGTCCTAGCTCTCATGCTCAGCAGTGGTACATTGGCCTAACAGGGGAGCCCCTGCAGTACCTCTACTGGGATTGTCCCCCACCACCGGAGGTCTTACATGTGGTGGTGGGTGCTACGGCCAAGCCTGGAGTGGCCTGCCATGTAGGCTGGCTTGACCTGGCCTGTCCCTAGTTCTGGCACAAATATGCACTGACTTATGTTGTGACCCAACTCAGCCTGTCCTGTACCCCATCCTGGTTCTCACATCTCCTAGTGGGTGCTATGAACTGGTCCAGCCTGGCCTGCCCCCAGACCTGACCCACATTGGGAGAGCTGCCCAAAGCAAAGCTGCCAGCCTCTTACCAATCTAGGGATCTCTATAGCAAAGATGACCCCATGACAGTGGCCCCTAGGTGCTGTGGCTCCAGCACCATCCTCACCAATCACCCACCCTCATCCTGCACCTTCTCCTCAGTTCATGCTACCATGCCGTCACTGCTCCATTGGAACTACTCACAGCTTGGGTTCCACTCAGCAACTCTTGAAAACCAGAGTTCCAAACAGAGAGAGAGAATGCTCTTTCTTCACTGGTTGGTCCCTCAGGTGTCCCCAAGAGCCAGCTCTGGGCCAGGCTGAAGTCAAGAGCTTTCTCTGGGTTCCCTCCCCATGGGTGCCGGAGCCTAAGCACTTGGGTCATCCTCTGTTGGTTCTCCTGGAGCCTTTAGCAGGAAGCTAAAACATAGGTGGGCAGCTAGGACATTTACCGCCTTCCATATGGATCCCACAGCACAGGAGGTAATTTTACCCACTATGCCATGACACTGGCAGCAAAAACAACATTTCTAATGAGGGACTTGAACATTGTAGATTGTTGTTTCTGCAGGGGTTTCTGCAACCTGTACTCTGTGGCACTGTGAGGCTGGGCCAAACAGCTGAAACACAGCTTTGAGGAGGATGGAGGATACAGCCAGGGGTCAGGGCCAGCTGTGTTCTATCCACAGAATAAATTTTGGTCAGAGCCAACATTTGCTCTTCAGGTAGGATTGTTTGTATAGACCCAGTTAATGGCTGGCTTGACCTTCCCTCTGTGCTTGCTGATGGGGTGTTGCTGGCCTTGTTTTGCAGTTTCCTGTGAGGTAACCTTGGTCCCCAGGGAGGAGGTGCTGGGAGACATGTAGGAGGCAGGGACCTCATCTGAGCTATGCAGAACAGACTTACCACTGAACGGAATGATGGTAGACACTGACAGCGTCCATGGCTTGCTACAGCCCTCACTGCTGCCTGGTGCTACCCTTCCTTATCCCACGGGGAGGACTCCTCAGGGCTCTGCCAGCACAGCTGAGCAGGTATAGGGCTTCCTTCCTCTCACATCCAGCCTGCAGCTTCTTCCCAGGTTCTCAGGAAGCCCAGGCACAATGAATGAAGCTTCTGCTTGGCCCTAGCCTGCTGGCATCATCCCCTTGTGCCTGGCTCTGCCTTTGGCTGTGTCCCCTGCCTGTGGGCCTAATGTTGAGTGTGTAGCCAGAGTTGTCCTTTCTTGGAGTGGGATATCAAAGCTGGTCCCTTGGCTGGGGGCCCCTAGTCCCCACAAAGGAGGAAGTACATGGCTCTGCTCTCGTATCTACAAGGAATAACAACAGAACTCACAACCAACTCTTGTCACAAGAGAGATTTCTAAAAATATTTAGTGTATTGATTTGAAAGGTAGAGTTACAAAAACAGAGAGAAATCCTCAATTTGCTGGCTCCCTCCCCAAATAGTTGCAGTGACTGAGGCTGGGCCAAACAAAACGAAATGCAGGCCTGGAATTTCCAATTAGAAATCTGAGTTTCCAATGTGGGTGATTGCCAGGGCCCCAAGTACTCAGGCCATTTTCCACTGCTTTCCCCATACATTAGCTTGGAGCTGGATCAGAAGTGGAGCTGTTGGGTCTTGAGCTCTACTACTGGAAGCCATCATTTACAAGTCATGGATTAACACACTGTACTTTCATGCCACTCCCAGGAACTTCTTGAATGAGACCTGTCAGAAGCAGGAAGTCTCTAAAGCAGTCTTGGTAACCCTACTTTTGGGAGCTTGTGGCCTGGCCAAGTCCCCACCCCTGGGCTTGGACCAACTGTGATTAAATTACACAGACAGTGGCTTTTGTCTTGAATGTGTGAGCTCTCATTGTCTCCCTGGCCCATTTTGTTGGAAAGCAGATGGCTGCATGAGACAGTCCCACTTGCCTGACCTGGTGAGGAGCCCTGGGTCCTGCTCATGGCCATGTGTGTAAGTCTGGATGCTGACCTGTGTCCCGCAGCAGCGGCATGCTGGGCAGGCTTCAGGCTTGGCTGGATGCAGGTACTTGGGTGAGGAATCCGGGAATGAATTTCCCTCTGACCTAGGCACTGCCAGTGTCTGGCCTGGATCCTGCTGCTTGTTTGGATATAGTTGTTGCCCGAGAGTTGGGTGTTGGGAGTCTCAGGATGTGGTGATGGCCCTTCGGGGTTCTCAGGGGTGGCCCACAAATGGGATTTGGTAGATTGTCATGGGATGCTGCCAGTTCTCACAAGAGGCCAGAGGGATATTAGAAACAGGGCAGGCTTGGCCCTCCCTTGCTCTGGGCCCTATTTAAGATGTGACTTAGCTGCCTCGCTCCCCTGTCCCACCCCCATCATGTACAGATGGAACTATTTTCAGGTAGCACCTGGCTTAATCTGAGGATGATGAACTGCAGGTGTGGAGGGCGGGCTGTGTTTTGTGCTGATATAAAAGCAGGCTTTAAAATAAATGAGTGAGCCAATGGAGTTAAAACACCTTTCCGGAGCAGGCATCTGGCCTAGTGATTAAGACAACTGTGACCTGTATCGGGGCACCTAGGTTCGTTTCCTGCGTCTGGCTCCCAGCTACAGCTTCCTCCCATTGAGGACCCAGGGAGTTAGCAGGGCACAGCTCCCCTGCTTGGGACCCTGTCATCTCTGTGGGAGACCCAGCTGGGGTCCCACTCCTGCCATTTGGGGAGTGAACCCGCAGGAAGAACACTCTGTGTTCCTGTGTCTGTCTCTTTCTGTCTCTGCCTCTCTAAAAACTAGTTTATTTTGTAGCAAAAATGAGATTCCTGCAGTTTTTTTCATGGTGTATATTTTTTCAGAAACTTTGTGAATATTTTTGTTATGTATGGGCCTCAAAAGTTTTTTGGCACTGAAATAAACTTATCTTTAGCAATACTATTACTATTTGTTTGAGAGGGAGAGAGACAAGCTGATTCACTCTTTGAATGCCAGCCATGGCCAGGGCTGGGCTGAGGTGGAAGCCAGGAGCTGGAATGCAATCCAGGGCTCCCCCACGGGAGGCAGCAGCCACCCACCTGCTCCCACTGGGGTGGCCCTGGCAGGAAGCTGGAGTGAAATCCCAGCACTCCCCCAGGATAGGCTAACTGCTGCCCCCTAAGCTGGTCTTCTGGTGCTATTCCATGAACGCTGATAGTCACACAAGCCAGTCAGGAGAACACCTGCCTGCCTATCTCCTCAGGAATGCACAGTTCTACTGCAGGGACAGATGTTTAAGGAGGAACACTCACATGAGGACTTTGGGAGGGATGCCTCGCTCTCTCTGAGCAGCCGCTTTGCTGATGGTTGCAGGCGGTGAGAGCAGAAACCAAAATACTTGTGATAGAGAAGCTGCTCCTTCCCTTGCCAAGACAGCCTGGCACGTGCTTTATTTATACATTTATTTAAAGATTTCTTTTGTTTTTTGGAAAGTGAGACATACAACGAGGAGAAGAGACAGAGAGGGTTATCTTTCATCTGCTGATTCACCATCCCACAGGGCCGCTATGGCCGGGGCTTGTAAATGCCCTCAAATGGGAGAAAGGCAAGGCCTTCGCCCCCTTCCTCTTGCAGGTCTGACTGGATCTTCTGGTTCCCTGCACCTACATCCTGGGCCCAGGGCCCACTCAGACTAGGGGTCTGATACAACTCAGGCCCTCCTGCACCTGGAGGAAGGTGAAGGGACTGTGTGAGACAGCTTAGGAGTTTGGCCTCAGTGTCTTCCCTGAGAACCCAGCAGGGACTTCATGGGAAGCTGCTGGGAAACCCTTCCTTATTCAGAAGTATGGAGAGCAGCGGGAGTCCCATCCTGAGCTGGCCTAGCCAGGGCGCAGACGGCCATGTCTCTCCAACCCCAGTTGGAGGGACTACGCCAAGCCTCTCCTCAGAACCCCCCTTTTCCCTGCAGTCCATGAGCCTCATCGAGATCGGGAACCCTTCCCAGAGCCTGGAGAATGTCTGCCACTGGGCTTGCCTGCAGCAGAAGCCAGACACAGACCACGACAAGTACCACGATCATGCCATTTTCCTCACTCGGCAGGACTTCGGACTGTCAGGCATACAAGGTGAGCTGCCCTCAGGTGGGGAATCATGGGGGAAGTGCAGTGGGAGGAGCGTGATGGAGGAGCCATTGGCTTTGCCAGATGCACCTGTGCACTTGGCCCATCCCAGGAAGGAGTGTCCAGTGAGGGCCTCTAGGCCAGTGTTGGCAATCCCACCACACCCCAGGGTGGTGAAATGCGAAGGGACTGGGCCAGGCATTGATGAGACCAGATTGGGTTTCTCCAGGTTTATTTTAGAGATTTCAGGAAAACAGATTTGAACACATTTCCAACCTTTGCAGATTGAGCTTTATTCAGACGTAAACTGTATGAAAGGGCAGATCTAAAAGAAGAAATGGGCACATCTACAATCCCCATTGAAGAGATATAGGTGTCTTTTTCTCAGTAAGTAGAACAGATGAGAAAATCGGTAACAATGTAGACATTTGAACTAAGCAACTTGACCCACTTGATGTAGACAGAATGCTACACCACATCATTAGAGAATGCAAAGTGTCTGAGTGCACATAGATACATGCCCAAATGGGGAGACCTTGTACATATGCCTGCAGCTCTCTTACCCGAGCTGAGTGTACCTTTGCTGAGATTCCTGAGTCCTAGTTTTTCTTGCCTATAAAGTGAAAATAATGCAATAGTGTGTGTGTGTGTTTTGTTTGTTGTTTTATCTTCAAGGGATATGATAAGAAAACAAAAATATTTTTTTTCTGATCTTCTTAGGTAGACAAGTCCCTTTCAACTCTTAACATTAGAATGGAGATGAAATCTGTTAAAATCAACTCTAAAACTTGATGCAATTTATTTCAGAAAGTAGAACAAGCCGCTTACCCTGAAGGCTTCCTGATCGTATAGTTCTGTGACCTTAGCAAGTTTACTCTTTTGGATTGTTAGTCCATAGCATGAAAAGGTAGCATCTCAGTTAATACATATTGTTGCTGTATCTTTGTGTTTCTCCATAATGGATTAAGGCAGGTCACCTCATGTAGTATCTGACTAAGATACCTTCCTGCTTTGACCAGCCCTTCCAGCATACTCTGTGTGTGGAGATTGATTATGTTTGTTTCTATTGTTTATATGGATGTAATGTGTTCTTTGATTCCTTGCTGTATTCCCACCCTCCATATCCTTTCAGATGTTTTGTTTAGCAAAATCACTGAACTCACATGCAAAGCATTGCCTTCCAGAACACTGGCAAAATACAAGGATTAATGAGAAAAGGTGTCAGCTCTCTGGGAACTGACAACATGAGTTGATGATTCCCTCTAAGTGTGACTTAGCATAAAAAGTACTATTCAGTAGAAGTTGTCATTGCTGAGCATAGATGGGTCAGCCCTGCTCAGGCTTTGCAAGGCTCTCAGCTGTGTTCTCAGCTCCTTCAGTCCACACCTGCCCAGGTAGGGTTCCATGCCTTTCCCCCAACTGTGTTGTGAACTCTTTTCTTTGAGCCTTCCATGGGAACTGTGCCCCCTTTTCCAGGTGAGCCCAGCAGCCTTTCTGGACTGCCTGTCTCTTCCCCTTTTCAGGGTCTGTCTCCGTCACTGCTTAGGAGTGGTTTTCTAGCAGACTTCTCCCTGATTTAAGAACTGAATCCTTGTGGTTGGTCACAGGAATACAAGTCAGCATCTGGTTATGTGGATTAGGATCACGACCCAGATTCTTTGTTAGGATATTGCAAAGAGGGCCTGGCATAATAGCATAGTGGTAAAGGCATCTCCTTAAATGCACCAAGATGCCATACGGGCACCGGTTCTCATCCCGGAGGCTCCACTTCCCATCCAGCTCCCTGCTTGTGGCCTGGGAAAGCAGTCCAGGACAGCTCAGATCTTTGGGTCCTTGTACCCGCATGGGGGACCCGGAAGAGGCTCCTGGCTCCTGGCTCCTGGCTTCAGATTGGCTCAACTTCAGCTGTTCTGGGCACTTGGGGAGTGAACCATCAGATGGAAGATCTTCCTCTCTGTCTCTCCTCCACTCTATATGTCTGCCTTTCCAATAAAAATATATAAATCTTAAAGAAAGAGAGAGAGATTGCAAAGAGACTGGGTTAAAGTCTCCTCTCCCCTCAAGTTGAACGATATTGCTGGAAATACTGCTTTTGAACATTTTTTTGCCCTTTGTGTCATGCTAGCAACTAAAAGGCCATAACTGTTGGATTAGCCTGTTTCCATTACAAGATCATGGAGGGAATTTCTCTGTCCTAAACCATGAACCTGAATCCCTTCTTGTCTGCTTCTGTAGAGGTTGCCTTCCAGCTAGCGGGTAGTACTTCTTTAAAATGGAGTGGCATCAGTTTTGTTATCAAATTGAGAAAACTTTAAATGCCATTCCAGAGGGGCTGAAGCATATTCTGGAAGCAATTGAGGAGCTGGTGATTTCTGACATGGGGCAAGCCTGGTGAGCATGAGAACTAGGACTTGGGCAGGCATGACTAGACAGAGAGTGGCACTGTCGGCAGGTATGTGGGATGGATAGTGCGGCTGGTTGGGTTGAACTAGGCTTCAATGCCCATTGACAAGTAGGAGAGCTAAATGGGGTGTGGGAAAGACTGGACCAGTCTGCTGTACATACTGTAAGCATGGAAGCCAGGGCAGGGGGTGGGCCTGGTGAGGATTATTTGGAGTTGCCCCAACTAGGCTGCAGCTCCTACTGGTTTCCATGGCCAAGTGTGTGGTGGGCAGAATCAGGCTGGGCGGCAACACCCATTAGTTTGTGTGGAAGATGGTGCTGGAGGCAGAACTGACCCAACAATTGCAATGACTAGCATATGCATAGGCTGATAGGGATGATGCACTGTACCAGACAGTATACTGGCAAGCACACCAAGAATCTGGTCTGGGATCACTTCAGACAAACTTTGTTTGGGGATGCCCCCTATCAAACTGCTGGAATTCGAACCCCAACCATGAGGAGAAGTGCAGGTTCCATGGTCTGACCGTGGAGTGTGTGTGTCAAAGCTGAGGCTCCTCAGTGTCTCAGACAGGGCAGTGGACAGCATATCCATCCAGGTGCACATGGAGGATATGATAGTACGTGGGAACCTGCAGAGGACACCTGATACCACAACAGAGGACAGAACAAATTGATCAGCTAGTCCAGCCAAGTGTTGGCAGTGAAAATCTGGGCAAGTTGAGACACTAAAGTGAACTATGTCAGCCAGTGGATCCTGAAGAGATTTCATTGTGCATGGAATGGCGAGATTGGCACCAATTCAGAACTGTTGAGCTACCAAAACCGCTTGAGCAATGCCCTTGGAGCATGCCCCAAATTGGGGACCCTGGGATGACTGGAAGGGTAGGTGTGGCTTTTCCCTTTGTCTCTCCCTTTTCCCCAGATATAGGAAGGAGAAAAAGAGAATGTGGAAGCAGTGGTCTTATCCACTTTCCTGTAGCCCTTGACACTTTGTGAACTAATCAGCTATGTAAAGATCCTATTTTATATATGTGTATGTGTGTGTGTGTGTATTATGTATATATAATTATATATATATATATATATAATTTTACACACACAAATGAGTGTACTAATTGTCCTTTAGGTATATTAGGAAATGAAGACCAGAGAAATTTCTACTTCAAATTATAGTTGAAACAGAAATACAGAAACCTTTACTTTAAGCAGGAAAGGACTTAATTCAAGGAATTCGATGCTAAAAATGGTTAGACTGGGAGAGGGTGTTAGTGTGGTCTCCAAGAAGTGCAAGAGCGTTGTAAGAATTGCTCAGGCAGCTCCTGCTGTGGGGCCTCTTGGGAGCTGTGTGTGCCCTTCCTTACACCTATGAATCAAGAGCAGGGATCTCCAGTCGTGAATAGCCACCGCTGCTCATTTATCTGGAAAGTGATTGGAACAGTATGTCAGGGGACGATATTTCCATGACCTACCTTGTAAGAAGAAACTGCAACAGGGACAGAAAGCTGGCCTCTTAATCTCACAGTGACTCTCTAAATCATGAAAGGATGCATCTACGTGGGAGAACTGAAGTTAAGTCTCATTGCAAAAGAATAAAGAAAATAGAGTAAATGCTCAGCCTTGTGGGAGAGTCTGGATGGTGTGAGCTAACGTATAATTCCTAGTGTAGGCATCAAACCCAAGACATTGAAATAGTACAAACATTTAAATCACGGTGGTGGTGGTATGAACACAGAAAAAAGTGTGAAGCCTCTTAGACATTAAAAACACTTATTGATAAAATGTAATACTTTGAGTCTGCTAAAGGTTTTGCTTCATTGTTAGCCAGTAAACTGATGAAACAGGAAGAGAACTTTAGGAAGTTCTTGGAATATGAAATTAAAATGCTTCTCCTACTGCCAAAAAAAGATGTGAAATTCTTGCCTAGCTTTTCCATAATGTGTGTTTTCATAAAGTTTATGAAGACCTGCTGTTGTGGCCACCTTTTTAGAAGTTAGGAATATAATGGGCAGGTTAATAGTGGTTTCTGTGAGTGCTGACAGTTCCTGTCTTTAGACTGCTCCCCACACTAGTTTTGGTGTCTGCCTGTATATAAATGTAAGGAACGAGTGAGCAATCCCATCATTAGAAACATCAATCCTGTCAGTGTTTTCTCCACTTCAATATTATAAAGTGTAGATGGCCGTACTCATTTTGGTTTTAATTTGCAGTAACCTGATAACTATAATCAAGTTGCAGTTTTACATGTAGTCTGGCTACTTGTCTTTTTCTCAGTATTTGTGTTGAGAATGTTTCTCCTCATCTATTTGACAGTGAAATTTGACAGGCAAATTTATCCATTGTTCTGTATTGGATATTTTTCTATTCTGATAGCTAACCCCAAATGTCCTATGTTTTGCTCTCCAAATGTCCATCTTGAATTAAATTTTGATAGTGGTTTAAGTATGGGTCAGGGTTCATTTTTTTTTTCTTTTATGAATATCTAGTTATTTAGTCTAATTTACTAAAAT